ATTACAATTCATCAGTCATGTAAAATAATATAAAACTAAATCAGATTACAATACAAAAATATGAAGTGGGATGTCGAAATATAGATTAAGAGAAAAAATACAAATACAAGAAAACAAAACATTCAGATGTATATAAATACATTTGAAAAGATGTACCTTCACTTAGGATGAGTCAGCAGGCAATTTATCTTGTGATAAATAGGGTAATAAGAAAAAGGATTTTTTTTTTCAATATAACCAATAAGAACCGGGCAAAAAGACGCAATAAAAACAAAAGTATATACAAAAAGAAACAAAAAGAACGACTCTCAGGCAGGCTAAAACTAAAACACAAAATAAGACAAAACAAACAAACAAACAATATACGCAAAGACAGAGAAAACAAAGGCAAAAAATTCCGATAAACAAAAACGCGTTTGTTTTTTTGACAAATCTATTGCGTTTCAAAGGCTTCCTTACACATATATAAACATACATACATATATGTATATATATGTATACATATATGTGTATTTATGTATATATATACATATGCAAACACATACGTATTCATATATGTATGTGTGAACATATATATACATATACACACACATATAAGTATTTATGTATATATATAGATACATACATATATACATTTATAGATATGTGTGCATGTGTGTATATGCATATGCATATGTACATGTATGCACATGTATATGTATCTGCGTATGTATATACATATGTATACGAATATGAACACGTACTGTATCTGTATGACGAGCGAGTGATTGCTTGCCTACGAATCGGCGACTGTTGAGAAACCTGCGGTAAATTCGGAAAAAAAAATCACATTCCTCATAAAAGCACAAGTTTGAGAGGCGGAATACAGTGTACGGAATGCGAGCTGCGACAAGTGCGATTTCTGTTCGGATGTTAAACTAAAGAAAAAAATAAATTTGTTTCACGCTTGTATCGCACTCCGAATTGTATGGAAAAAAGAAAGAGAAAAAGAAAAGTAGAAGAAAAAATAAAAAAAAATAAAACTATAAAAGCCTAACCTATACAGTAAAATAATAATAATAATAATAATAATAAATATAATAATAATATCTAAATAAAATAAGAATATTAAAACATAACAATTAAGGAAAAAATAAAGTTATAGACAAGGAATAGGGACATACGGACGATTCTGAGAAAATACTCTCAGTCGCCTCCCGTGTTTAGGCGGCATGTCTGGCTTCAGAACGTTTCGCGACATTCTTTAGCCAGAGCCGAACGTATCGTACAGCAAACACGCTGACTGTGCACCCGGCAGCTGTTCATTCGAGTTGTGGTGATCCCGCAAAGAAGGTTTCGTGGGCATTTCATATCCACATTTGATATCCACTCTATGGTGAGTACAGGAGTTGTCTGTGTTTCGTAGCGTACAAGAACAGTGCTTGCTTTAAGGGACAAGACTGAACACATTAAGACAAGGAAATCAACTAATGGCTTATAAAACCTAGTGACATAATGTTCATACTGTTTTTTTTTTTTTTTTTTTTTTTTTTTTTTAAACCTTGATCGGCATTCTTTTCCGTTTACACTTCCTCTCATTATTGCCATGTAGTAACACCGTCGCCGTCGGTAACACACAACGTCGTTTTCACTCCCCTCCCCCCGTCTCTCTCTCTCTCTCACGCACTCTCTTTCTCTTGTGCTTTTGTATTGCTCTCTATTTTTATCGGCATTCTCCTCTGTTTACATTTCCTCTCTATCGTCATCATCGTTATCATTATAATCAGTCATTGTCCTATTATCATTCTCATTATCATCAGTCATCATCGTTTTTCCTATCAGTATCATAATTATCATAACCATCGTCATCATCATCATCATTATCAGTCATCATCGTTTTTCCTACCAATATCATTATAATTATCATAACCATCTGTATCATCATCATTATATCATTACAACCACCGCCGCCGCCAGCAGTAGCTCCATCGCCATCACCATCACCAACACCATCAGAATTGTCATGTTTTTATCTTCTCTCTGTCTTCCCCCTCGCACTATCCGTTTCATTCGAGGGGAAAACGTGAATAAAATACGGAGGAATGTTTAGCAGCACAGATCGATTCTTGAGGAGTATACAAAATTAGTGTTTACATGGGGGTTACGTTCGCTTGCAAAATATGAGGGGATACGAGAGTTGTTTCATAACATAAAGTAAATAAAACATTATTTTAAAGCAAATATGCAACTATCTATCTCATGTCCTCACCCACACACTCTCTCTCTCCCTCTTCCCTTTCTTCCTTCCATCTTTACTTCCTTCTTTTAAGTCATCGTACGCCCGACACCTCAGAGTCACTATTCTCAAAGGGAGTAACGTCATGGTCAAACTTGCCAAGGATTTTTTAACGTAAACTGCTGTGAAAATTACCGAGGACACGACCTGCAGTACACAAATTACTGTTCGCTCTATTTATTATTGATAATTCGTAATAGTCAGCACCAGAGGAATGACGGCACTTCTCGATGTATTTTTGTTCTGATATCAGATTTGCTTTTAGTGCTGTGGGATTACCCGCCCGATTCTAGTGACCTGCTCCCTCGCTGCTCACCCCTCGAAGACCACGAAAGCCATGTGTTCTTATATCACAAGTACTTCAACCTGCCCTGTGCCCGACATTGACAAAGTAACCGTAGAACACGCTAATCTGACCCTTATTACTATCATACATTTTCAATGTTTTTATTCTGTTGTCTTCAAGTATAAATATGTCCTGTTTTATACTGAAATGTTTCTTATAAAATGCTTGATCTAAATCACTATGTATGTAACTGATTTTACTATTGATATTCAAGTGTTTCATGTTTCATGAACACTCAGTAATTCTGTCCCCTAACCACCAGATGTAAGGTTGTTAAAACATACCGATATCATGTCAACCATATACCCTTGTTCCTCTCCACGAAACGGTCATGTGAACCAATGTTTCTGAATTTATGTTCATCCATATTCTTTCATGTTTTTCCATTGTATATTGTTTAAAAACGAACTTCGTCCATGGCAATTCCTGTGCCATACTCTTAGACCGGTCGCCCTCGTGGGCTTGGCAGGACGCGCTCCTCCCTGGGCACCTGCCTTGCCCTCTGTACCAGTTACCCAGAATAAAGACAAGAAAACTGCGACAAGTTTAACTGCACCAACATCTTCAGAGTACTCCAGTACGTCAGCACCTTAGTTACTACTGCCTTACCGCTCGACCACGCTCTACCAAACTACAAGTAATAATAGTGGAGGGAGTGGGACATCGCCTCCCACTTCATATATTACACGCTACACTGCTGCGTTCAGAACACCTTGCCTTGCTCGTCCGGACAACCTGTCAGAACGAGCAGGACGAAGAGGCCGCGGCCGGAACTCTCCGGGGCCGTCATTACCCACAATGCATTATCGTACCAGTCTTTATTTTCTACACTGCATAGGTTTATAGTCACTGTGATCCCAGAGCCTCTCTCCAACACTAAAACACTAAAATAACTTTTGATAACAACGATTACCATTAATTTCTGGTTACCCGCAACTTTTAATGTTTATATAGAAACGCTGTTGTGACGAGAGGAACAAGAGGTCCAGGACGACAAAGTAGGGTTCCGAACGGTCGAAACTCTTGTACAACTTGTTGAAGGAAAGTTTCGAACGCTAATTAGACATCGGACAGCGAGTCTCTCGCTCTCTCTCTCTCTCTCTCTCTCTCTCTCTCTCTCTCTCTCTCTCTCTCTCTCTCTCTCTCTCTCTCTCTCTCTCTCTCTCTCTCTCTCTCTATATATATATATATATATATATATATATGTGTGTGTGTGTGTGTGTGTGTGTGTGTGTGTGTGTGTGTGTGTGTGTGTGTGTGTGTGTGTGTGTGTGTGTGTGTGTGTGTGTGTGTGTGTGTGTGTGTGTGTGTGTGTGTGTGTGTATGTGTGTAATCATTATCTATTTCCTATTTCCTCCATGTCTCTAATTCTGAAACGCTTCTTTCGCTCTACAAAGTAATAGTAAATTTAAAAAGAAAAGTAAATAGAAAAAAATTATAATACGTTGAATATAATCGTTTATTGACTTATTTACCTTATTACCTTATATCTTTATTTCATTTTTATTTTAGATGTCCATAATACCTTGCGTGATCGTGAATGCTGTGAAAGAAGTTCTCATAACTGTGATTCAAGAAACGCCCAATATCATCAGAGCCTTCAAGGAGAAAGGCGGAAAGGAGATGGAAGAGGAACACGAGAAACTTGCACAGGTTAGTGGAAAGAGAAAAATGGATGAAGGAGAAGGAGGGAAGGGAAGGGAAGGGGGAGAGAGGGAGGAAAATGGAGTAAGTAAGGAAGGAAGAGAAAGCACGAATAGGGGGAGAGAAGAGAGGGAGGAAAGGACGGGGAGGAGATGCAGGGAGGGAAGAGTGGAGAAAAAGGAAAAGAGATGGAAAGGGAGAGGGAGGGCAGAAGGGAAGGGAAAGAGAGGGATGGATGATTGGATAGAGGGAAGGAGGGGGAAAGGGGATTGGAGGAGGAGGGGAAGGGAGGGAAGGAGGAAGAAGGGAAAGGTATGAGAAGGAGAGAAAATGGAGGAAGAAGGGAAAGGTATGAGAAGGAAGAGAAATGGAGGAAGGACGGAAAGGGAAAGAAATGGATGGATGGAGAGAGGGAAGGGTGGATGGAGGGAGGGAAGGGAAGGGAAGGGTAGGGGGGAGGGAGAGAGGAAGGGAAAAAGGCGAGGGAAAGGAAAGGAAGAGGCAAAAGAATGAAGGGAGGGAGGTAAAGCGAGGAAGAAAGGGTAAGGAAAGATAGGGGGAGGGAAGGGAGAGGGAGAGGAAGGAAAGAAATAGAGGAAGGAAGGGAAGGGGAACGAGAATGGATGGACGGAAGGAGTAAGGAGGGAGGGAGAAAGGGTAGTAGAGAGTAAAGGAGGGAGGGAAGAAGGAGAGATGGGACGGAGGAAGGAAAGGCGGAAGGGAGAGCAAGGAGAGAAGAGATAGAGCGAGGAGGGAGGGAGGAGGGAGGAAGGGAGGTTAAATGGAAGGGGAGGAATAAAGGGAAGAAGGGAAGGAATAACGAGCTAGGGTGAGAAGAGAAGGATGAAAGAAAGAGAGAGGGAGAAGCTGGGAAGAAAGGAGGGAGAAGGGGAGGGAGTCATTGAGTGAGTGAATGAGTGAATGAGAAAGAGAATGAGAATGAGAGAGATAGTAGAAAAGAGGGAGAGTTAAGAGAGAGAGAGAGAGAGAGAGAGAAAGGGGAATGGAGAGGGGGAAAGAGAACGAGAGAGATGAGGAGAGAGAAAGAGAGGGCATGTAATACATATCACACACACACACACACATACATATACATGAATATACATGTCAGTAATTGTGCGATTGAGTTTATATAACAGAATGTACTTCACTTAACAGGACATGTGCGCCCTTCGGAAGGAACAAGAGCGGACTTCAGAGACCATCAATGCCTTGTTGAGGTGAGACAATAATGATTTATATTAATTATTGTCAAAAAGAAGTTTACGCAGGACATAGGTAAAAGGAATATACTTTTCCCTGTTTTCTTTTACGTATATTTGTATTTTGTTCTCTCGCCTCCTCCTTTTTTTGTTTTCTTCGTTTTCTGATTTTCCAGCTCCTCCTCTCCCACTTTTTCCTCCTCCACATCCTCCTCCTCCTCCTCCTCCGTTCCTCCTCTTCCCCTTCCTCCTTCACTACCTTGTGCTGCAGACCATTTTCCTTTCAATTTTTCTTTAAATAATAGCTGCGAATTCATCTCCAGTCGCTAAATCTACCTTCGTTGTTTTGCAGAGCCAAGAAAATTGAACAAAACCCTCGAGCTGCTGATAAGACTGCTGACAGCGCTAGATAGCCTGCCGTCAGGGACTTCGCGAGACCTGCAAGAGAGCATTCGCGACGTCTTGGGTCAAGGAGGCCTCCGCCAGGACTCAGGCGCGCGTGTGCACGAGGCAAGGCGGCGTTTTATGTGTTTGTTTTGTTCGTCTAATTCTGTCCTCTTGTCCTTTTCTTTGTGTTGGTTATAGGTATACCCCAAATACAATTAAAGAATCAAGCAGGCACATGTTGCATGTACAATACATAGGAACTTTTTTTTTCTAGGGAAATGTTTATTCATCAGATCAGCATAATGAGAACAGCTCTGAAAACCAGGTAATGTTCATTTAGAAACATTTATAGCAACTTCCATATGGTTTGCATCTTTGTAGGTTTAAAAGGTAGCAATAGTATCGTTGTACGTATTTTTTTTTCTTTGGAAATAAATAAAAAAATGGCGAATGGGAGAAATCTGTGAACGATATGGAAATATCTCGTTTAATCTTTTTGGGGGCATTAGCTGATCGAAAATAAAATTTGAAGAATTCACTTATTCTATCGTTTTAACTTTTGCTTATTTTTTTCTCATAATAGGAAGAAATACAACAAAAATACGTTTTTCAGTGCTTCAGAACAGAATGAAACCAGTTCGACAACAGTAACTGTCCTGAGCCCTCGACGGCACATACCCATGTGTTTCTTTTCCTTTTTAGCTTATAAAAAGTTCTAACTTCAAATAGCTATTTAATAATAATAAAAAAAACTGACATAAAAAAATGTTTGTGATAGAAAACCGAAAGCCATTAGAACTGATTAATGCCATGAAAATTATAGTTTGACAAACCTTTACCAGTTCATTCGATGGCGTAGATAAGATAATGTCCCGCGAAACATCAAAACTGTTGCTACAAATCGACCGCCTTCCACCTGCTTGCCTTCATTACTGCATAATAATCCTATAAAAGACCTTAAAGACCATTTCGATCTTGTCCTGCATCGAGCCATATAGGGAAATGCTTTTCACAAGCTCATGACAACTAAAGTCACGTCACTATAAATCCCTCCATTATGTAGTAATGGCTGAGAATTAGCCTTCTCGTGTGTGCTTCCGCTGTCAACCACTCTCTAGTCTTTAGCTAAGATGAATGTTTTTTTAATGGAGATCTGAAATTCACGGCATGTATTAAAAGACCCTCGCCTGAAACGCACAAAATCAGACGAAATATGAGGCGACTTAAGGCGCTCTGATAACTGCATGCGAGCTCCACCCGACAGAGGCAAGGGCCATCAACGATCGTCGACTCCGCCTCAAGGGCCTCGCCCCTTTGGGCTCATCCTTAATACGGCGCGGTCGCATTGAGGATGAGCCGAGGTCGGGCACGTCCGTAGCTTCCCACCTTTTGGGAACGCACGAAGATCACCCCCAGAGGCCTCGTCTTGCGGAGACTCCTTTCGGCTGCAGTTCCCCCTGACAGATTGACCTGCCTGTGGCGCCCAGCCAGTCTACCGCGTTAATAGGCGAACCGCGTCATGTTTCCAGACTGGCAGCGCTATAGATTATTATACACATTATCCCAGCCGGTTCAGTTGCGACGTTTGCTTGGTGACGCCACGTTCTTGGGCACCTCCCCCCCCCCGCCCCCTTGATAATAATCGATGGTCCAGCCGCTCGTGGGGATGTATTGCAGGGCCATAACTTATTGCGCAGCACGTTATCAGGTCGTCGAAAGGATAATGATAATTATATCGGTCACAACCACTTTCTGTCCAGTAGCTCATATATATATATATATATATATATATATATATATATATATATATATATATATATATATATATATGAGTGTGTATGTGTGCGTGTGTGTGTATTATGAATATGGAAGTATGTAAAGTATAGAAAGAGAAACAGTTAATTAACAGAGCGAAATGAGACCAGTCAGAAACTGTGGCTAATATACAGGACACCGTGTTTTGCAGGCTCCCTCAGGGCTAACCTGTGCAGTCTGCAGGTCGACCTACAACGCGCACGATCGTCGTCCGCTTATCTTCTCCAGCTGCGGCCACACCTTCTGCGAGGAATGCCTTAGTAAGGTTTCTGTTGTTTGTCTTTCTGTGAAATCTGTGTTTGGCTTAATGTCTGGTTTCTTTCCTGGTTTGTGCTTCTTTGTTTTATTTTTTATTTATTTATTTATTTATTATTATTTTTTGTTTGGCGTTGCGTTGTGTCTTTGTTTTCAGTGTCTTGGTGCCTCGTTTTTTTGTTTGTTTTATTTCTGCAATAATTAATATGTTGCTGTAAGAGAAGATACAACGGGTGACAGGGTAAAATATATACATATATGTGTGTTTGTATGTGAAATAACGTTTAAATGAATGAATAAATGAATAAGTAGATGAATAAATAGATACATACGTAGATAGAATAGATAAGAATGTCTTAGAAATAATAAATTAGAAAAATGTAGATAAATAAGTGAAATGAATAGATACATTTAGAGAAGGCTTAATGAGTAAATGGAAAGGCAATGAAAATCTTTCCTTCAAGGGACGGAGAACCGCAAGAGTGTGTTCCAGTGCCCTTCTTGCCGGCAGGACCGCGACCAGTTCTGGACGCTGAAGCCTAACTTCGCGCTGCTCGACCTGCTCGAAGCGGTACGTGATTTTCTTCTTTTTTTTAATGTATGATTTGTGCGTGTATGTATATGTGTGTTTGTGCGTGTGTGCGTATGTATGTGTGTGTGCGTGCGCGTGTGTGTATGTGTGTTCGTGTGTGTGCTCATGTGCGTGGGTTGGTTAGTGCATGTGAAATTAACCTTGGCTAATGGAAAGAGGTCCTTCCCAGGAGATCAGGGACGACGAAGACGAAGACGACCTCAAGAAGGGTCTCCGCATGGACGACGACGACCTGCTCTCCCTCGCCCTCCACATGTCCGCACAGGAGGCCGAGAACAAGGAGTACAGGCGTCAGGTCGCCGCCTTACTCGCGCGAGAGCCCGCTGGGGCCGGCGACGTCCCCGGAGCGGAGGGCGGCTGGCAGGAGGAGGCAGAGGGGCGTCCGGGGAAGGAGGAAGCTTACTGCCATGAGGAACTTGAAGGTCTTGATGGGAAAAAGCTCCGCCTTGAGAAGGAGGAGGCTGAAGGAGAGAGGAAAATGCTTCTGGTTGGAGGAGGAAGAAGAACTGCAACTGGCCATGGCTATGTCACTATCTGTAAGCATTTTCTGTTCACTATATAACATCAAATATCACTTTAGAGTTGAGTCTCCCCTGTCTAGTTATAATGCTCTTATATAACACATAATTCTTAACACTGCGATACACAGATCATTATTTGCAACTCATTATACTTGTATGTGAGGGCATTTACATGTATGCCAAATAAATGCTCCATGTCAGTGCCAATTAGTAACGTTTTACAAAATGGCCTTTTATTCCAGCTCCAGACAAGCGAGTAAGAGGCAGCAGATTATTATGATACAGAGTAAACGCGCTGCAGCATCATGAAGGAGAATTGAAGCCCTAAACACAAACACACACAATGTTTGTGGAAACCTCACGTTGGCAGTGTGATTATGCGGTATCGTGAATTGTGGTCACCTACATTTATATAAGAAGTACAGCTTATTAAGTGATTATGTATAGTTTATTAGTGTATAATATTCATGGGAAATATTATGCAGGCACATCACATTTATTTACTCAGTTGATTTTCAAAGAATCTAAATGGATTCTGACTTTTTGTCATCCACACATATGGTCATTGACTGTCCCAAAACCTAAAGATAGTCCCTGTTAACAAAACTAAAAAGGTTTCACAGATAAAACTCGATTGCAATATCTCTTTAGGCTGTAAGAAAAGAAAATCTTGCAACTGGAGCACCAAGAGAAATCTGGAAGAAAGGGTGTTGCATTAACATTAATTTCTACACCTGAACCATCGGCTTTAGGTCCAACATCAACAACAGTTTCAGAGCCAGCACCAGCCTCTCCGTCAGGCAAAGCTAAGGCCTGTTGCGGATGCTGTTGCAGAAGACTGACCTGATGAGATGAGATACTTATATGAACATGAACAACGAAGGTCATTGGCTCTGCTAAAAACCCACAGGGACTAAATTACTGGTATTACCTTTAGCATTATTAACATTATTATTAACATTAAGAAGTAGGAAATAAGTTATTTTTTATTATTAATATATGTGTAGTTTTGATAAGCTACTTAGTGCAGTCTTCCTTGCCTTTTCCAGGATTTTTAAACAGTCTTGTAGAGCAGCAGTTTCACATGAAAATTATAACTCTCTCTCTCTCTCTCTCTCTCTCTCTCTCTCTCTCTCTCTCTCTCTAAATGAGCATGACGGTGTTTGTCATTTTCATTTTATAAACTTGTCTTGTTATTACATGTATTTGCATCTTAGTGATATGATTTTATCCTTTAAATGATTTTATTCATGTTTTACATCATTGAAATCGTCTTTAGCTTTTTTAGATTATTTTTCAATGTTTTTTGATTATTTGTCTTAAACTGTCAACTATGTACCGTCAGTTTTCCATATTCTAATTATGTATATTTATAAAATTAGTGAAAATGATGGCAGTGATGTCAGCAAGACGTCGCTATATATACGGAACCGCCATGGCAATAAAGAGAGATCTATGTGAACCTGTGTTTGTGTCAGCCGGAGAGGTCAGCAGAACCAAGGGTGAACTGAGGAAACTTCCCGTTACTTGCCAGGGCATTTTTTTTATGTTTTCGTTTTTTTGTTTTCTGTTGTTCTTAAACGTACTTTTTTCCTTTTCTGGTTTCGTTTTTAAGTTTCAGTTTCCTTTTAGTGTCGTATTTCTTTTTCTTACCTTGGTATTTTAAGTAAAGTAACGTAATTTTACTATGTGTGAATTTATGTTATACATTTTAAGCCTTAAGTAGTTTTATTTTTTTCTGTAACTTTTATTTCTTCTTTTGTCATATTTTAAATGATAGGCTGAGTCACAAGGACTTTTTGTAATACTTCTCCGCTCTGGGTACATGTCATACCCGTATATGATCCTGGGTCATTGCCCGCTACCCTATCACAAGCCCAGGATTTGCGCTAACCCTTTCACTGATACGCTCTGTAATCATTTGCATCTCCTGTGTGATAGGCATTTTCTGCATTTTCTGAATATTTGCTGCAGTTTTGAATATTTCAGATGTGGCACATGTGCATACAATTATCAGACAATAAAGCAACACATTTTACATTATTAGTTATGAAACAAAGGATTTATAGTTGGCTTTATCGTATAGCAGCGTCGTTACACTTAGTTCATAATAAAATATATATATATATATATATATATATATATATATATATATATATATATATATATATATATATATATATATATATATATATATATATATATTATATATATATATATATACATATATATAATATATATATATATATATATGTATATATATATATTATATATATTATATATATAATATATGTAGATAATTATACATACACATACACACACACACACACACACACACATATATATATATATATAGTGTGTGTGTGTGTGTGTGTATGTGTGTGTGTGTGTGTATGCAATAAACTTCACGACCAGTGTTAATAGAAAAACAAGCATTTCTTTCTTCTTTAATCCAACTAAACTGGTATCTTCTTTGAACAAAAACAGTTCTTCCAACATCAAAATCATACGTTTCGAGTGTTCAACACTCATCTTCAGTGATGACAAGAAATAACTGTAAAGGATATACGGAACATTATCCTTCAGTTTACAAAACATATTTACAAAACAGTTAAGATAAATCATATCACTAATAGTATTTATAAAACATGAAAAAAGGGGATACGAATTACTAGTATCAAGACTTTACATTACATATCGAGATAATAAAATGAAGGGTTTATGAAAAGTTATTATATAGATTGATACAACAGGTTGAACAGTTCATGTTTGACCTTGAAATCAGTCAACAATATTAAACATGGCAAGAGCACTATACTCTAAATGAATTGGAAAAGTGATTTAGTATTGAAAATATTTCTAGACTATAAAAGCCATCATGTAAATATGACAAACCATACCATTCAAGATAAGTAAATACCATCAATATTGATACAACACATTACTGAATTGCAATAGATTATTATGACTGAAACACATTCTAGGGAAACATTGGTATTCTGGGAAATTACTAGGTTATAAGGTTAAGACATAGAGTAAACTATGACAAAAAACGTAAGTCAAGAAATTCATAAAAATCATTCAAATCAAAATAACACATTATTGAATAAAATACATTATTGCAATTGAAACATATTATAATGAAACGTTTGTAATGACGAGACATTTAATGGAGAAAACTTGAGCTAAAATGGGACGAAATTACGATCAAAGCCCCTGACGTCATCAAGGCAAAACCGGCAAGATCAAACTCGGCAAATACTATATATAAACCTTGAATATGGGAATTTTACACACTGATCTCGAAACTAGGGATGTTAATTAATACATTGGTAACAATAATACAGAATACTAACCATAATTATTACTAAATATATATATATATATATATATATGTATATATATATATATATATATATATATATATATATATATATATATATATATATATATATATATATATATATATATATATATATATATATATATATATATATATATATATATATATATATATGTATATATATATATACACACACACACATATCTATATCTATCAATCTATCTATCTATTTATGCGTATATGTATGTATGTGAATATATATAAATATATATATATTTACACACACACACACACACACACACACACACACACACACACACACACACACACACACACACACACACACACACACACACACATATATATATATATATAATATTAATATATATTTATATATAGATATGTATTTATGTATATATATATATGTGTGTGTGTGTGTGTGTGTGTGTGTGTGTGTGTGTGTGTGTGTGTGTGTGTGTGTGTGTGTGTGTGTGTGTGTCCACGCACGCATACACATACATTGTCAGTTGTTATGGAGAATGAATATACTATATATAAAGCATTTGATTCGTTTATTATAATGTTCATTACATAGATCTCGAGCTCTGTTTCTACCTTTTCCTTCCTATCACTAGCAGGACTACGGAAAAGGTGTATTCATCAACAGTTAAACCGAACTCATCATATCATATGCATATTGTAAAAACGGAAAATGGAATTATCGAATGACCAAAGGACAGTGAAATCACGAAAGTCACGGCATGACCAAATACGGATATGGGTTGCAGTCCACCAGCAGTGTGTCTGATTTCCATGAGAGAGAGAGAGAGAGAGAGAGAGAGAGAGAGAGAGAGAGGAGAGAGAGAGAGAGAGAGAGAGAGAGAGAGAGAGAGAGAGAGAGAGAGAGAGAGAGATGGAGAGGTCTTATTCAAACGCTTTATTTACCTTAAAATCTACATCGGAACAGAAAATATTCAAAGGAAATGAAAATAAGGGACTGGATTATATATTGGTTTTACAACTACACAAGGCTTATAAGAGGGAATCGAGATGTTAAATCATCAATCTGACTGAACTTTATTGGTCTTAGTGGATCAATGCATGTGGTAAACATAACAGTTCGGTGATATTCTTTGAGAATGTTTAATCTGATCTAGATTCAGGTTTACGTAAACTTCCAAGCTCTAAATTCATTATGACAAAAAATCGAGACTTGGCATTAGAAGAGCACTTCCCACAATAACACGTAAAAAAGAAAAGAAAAGAAAAAATAGAATAGGTTTCTAGTTCACCAAAGAATATTTAGATTGGTGCAACTACTCCATCTTTCTGATAATCCTAGTTGGCAACTTCTGAGGTATGCCCCACGTCATCAAATATTTGATATTTGCTTTATTTCTATAATTTTTGGTATTTTTTTTCAATATTATTTTACCATTCTGCTGCCTTCTCCTCACTCATCTGGTGCTGGAATAAAAGGCCATTTTGCAAAATGTTACTAACTGGCATTGACATGGAGCATTTATTTGGCATATATGTAAATGCCCTCCCATGTAAGTATAATGAGTTGTGAATATTGATTTGTGTATCAGTGTCAAATTATGTGTTATACAAGAGCATTATAACTAGACAGGGGAGACTCAACTCTAAAGTGATATTTGATGTTATATAGTGAACAGAAAATGCTTACAGATAATGACATAGCCATGGCCAACTGTAGTTCTTTCCTCCTCCAACCAGATGTTTTCCTCTCTTTCAGCCTTCTCCTTCTCAAGGCGGAGCTTTTTCCTACTATGACCTTCAAGTTCCTCATGGCAGTAAGCTTCCTCCTTCCCCGGACGCCCCTCTGCCTCCTCCTGCCAGCCGCCCTCCGCTCCGGGGACGTCGCCGGCCCCAGCGGGCTCTCGCGCGAGTAAGGCGGCGACCTGACGCCTGTACTCCTTGTTCTCGGCCTCCTGTGCGGACATGTGGAGGGCGAGGGAGAGCAGGTCGTCGTCGTCCATGCGGAGACCCTTCTTGAGGTCGTCTTCGTCGTCTTCGTCGTCCCTGGTCTCCTGGACTCTCCTCTGGGAAGGACCTCTTTCCATTAGCCACGGTTAATTTCACATGCACTTACCAACCCACGCACATACACACACACACGCACACACACACACTTGCACGCACAAGACACACATAAAAAAACAACAAAAACACACATGCACAAATCATACATTAAAAAAGAGGAAGAACATCACGTACCGCTTCGAGCAGGTCGAGCAGCGCGAAGTTAGGCTTCAGCGTCCAGAACTGGTCGCGGTCCTGCCGGCAAGAAGGGCACCGGAACACACTCTTGCGGTTCTCCGTCCCTTGAAGGAAAGATTTTTTATTGACTCCAGCAATTTATCTTTTCCTTCATGGGTTCATTTATTCATTGATTTAAAAAATCTATCTATTCATTCTATTTATTCATCTATATCTATTTATTTACTATTTACTATTTCTTAGATATCTTAATTTATTCTATCTACGTATTTATCTATTTATCTATTTACTCATCAATCCATTTAATCATTCATTTAATCATTATTCACACACATACATAATGTATATAGTATACCCTGTTACTTACTCGTTGTATATTTCTCTGAAATTAACATAATTATTGCAAAAATAAAGCGGGGAAAAAAAAACGAGGCACCAAGACATTGGAAACAAAGCCATAACACTCCCCCCCCCAAAAAAAAGGAACACACCAATACAGAGACCACACTTCAAGACAAACAGATTTCACAGAAAGACAAACAACAGAAACCTTACTAAGGCATTCCTCGCAGAAGGTGTGGCCGCAGCTGGAGAAGATAAGCGGACGACGATCGTGCGCGTTGTAGGTCGACCTGCAGACTGCACAGGTTATCCCTGAGGGAGCCTGCAAAACACGGTGTCCTGTATATTAGTCCACAGTTTCTGCCTAACCCCATTTCGCTCTATTGACTTTCTCTTTCTATGCTTCACATACTTCATGTAAATAATATATACATATACATATACATGTAAATATATGTGTATACAGCTGTCTACACACACACACACACACACACACACACCACACACACACACACACACACACTATATATATATATATATATATATATATATATATATATATTATAAGATACTTCACAGAAAGTGGTTGTGAACGATGTCATTGTCGGTATCCTTTCGACGACCTGATAACTTGCTGCGCAATAAGTTATGGCCCTGCAATACATCCCCACGAGCGGCTGGACCATCGATTATTATCAAGGGGGCGCGGGGAGAGGTGCCCAAGAACGTGGCGTCACCAAGCAAATGTCGCAACTAAACCGGCTGGGATATATGTGTATAATCTATAGCGCTGCCAGTCTGGAAACATGACGCGGTTCGCCTATTAACGCGGTAGACTGGCTGGGCGCCACAGGCAGGTCAATCTGCAGGGGGAACTGCAGCCGAAAGGAGTCTCCGCAAGACGAGGCCTCTGGGGTGATCTTCGTGCGTTCCCAAAAGGTGGGAAGCTACGGACGTGCCCGACCTCGGCTCATCCTCAATGCGACGCGCCGTATTAAGGATGAGCCCAAAGGGGCGAGGCCCTTGAGGCGGAGTCGACGATCGTTGATGGCCCTTGCCTCTGTCGGGTGGAGCTCGCATGCAGTTATCAGAGCGCCTTAAGTCGCCTCATATTTCGTCTGATTTTGTGCGTTTCAGGCGAGGGTCTCTTAATACATGCCGTGAACTGGCAGATCTCCATTAATAAAAGGACATTTATGCTGGCTAAAGACGAGAGAGTGGTTGATGGCTTTCAGCCATTACTATACAAAGGAGGGACTCATACTATCGAGACTTTAGATGTCATGAGCTTGTGAAAAGCATTTACCATATGGCTCGATGCAGGACAAGGTCAACATGGTCTTAAAAGTCTCTTTTATAGGATTATTATGCCAATGATGAAGGCGCTTCGGACTGAAGGTGAGGCAGGCAGGCGACAGGCGGTTGGATTAGTAACTAACACTTTTTTGCTGTTTCGCGGTAAGAAGTCCGGGACATTATCTTATCTGCGCCATTGAATGAACTGGTCGTGAAGGGTTGTAAAACTGATTGTCATGGCATTACTGAATTCTAAGGATTTCGGTTTTCTACCGCTTTTATTTTAAATATCTGATTTTTAAAAATGAATAGCAATTTGAAGATCACAACTTTTTATTAATACATAAAAGAAAAGAAACACATGCGTATATGCCTTCGATGGCTCAGGACGCAGTTATTGAAGTGGTCTTTGTCTTAATCTATTCAGAAGCACTGAAAAATAATTTTTGTTTTATCCTTCCTATTATGAGAAAATCAAAAGGTGAAACGGTTTGATAAGCGTACTTTTCAAGTAGCTAAT